TTTGGTAGAACCTAAATTCTTCATGTCAAATTCTCCACTCAAGAGAACCTTTAGATTTTGAATTGCAGATTTGTTCATAGTAGTTATGAGTATATCATCTACATATAATAGAAGATAAATCATAGAGCCATCCTCCACCTTCTTGTGGTAAACACATAAGTCATAGGGACTTCTTTTGAACCCTTGATTGATCATGAAATTGTCAAATCTCTTGTACCATTTCCTTGGTGATTGTTTCAGTCCATAAAGTGACTTTTGTAGTTGGCACACATAGTCTTCTTTTCCTAATTTCACAAAACCTTCTAGTTGCTTGATTAAGATATCATTTTCTAGTCTTCCATGTAAGAAGGTTGTCTTTACATCCAATTGATCAAGTTCTAAGTCTTGACAAGCTGCAAGGGCTAGTCGACCCCTTTATAGAAGTGTGTCCCACAACCGGTGAGAAGATTTCATTAAAATCCACACCTTCCTTCTAACTAAACCCCTTTGCAACTAAACATGCTTTGTATCTTAAGGGTTCAACTCCAGGGATTCCAAGTTTCCTCTTGAAGATCCATTTGCATCCTACTACATGTCTTGCTTTTGGAAATTTTACTAACTTCCAAGATCGATTTTTCTAAAGTGATTCCATTTCTTCCTTTATGGCAAGGATCCATTTATCTGCTTCTGCATGATTCATGGCTTCCTTGTATGTGGTTGGTTCAGATGTATCAACTTCTTCTACTACATATAATGCATAAGTACTAATCATGTTTTCAAAACCATACTTGACAGAAGGCTTAGATATTCTTTTAGGCTTTTGATTGGCTTTTGTATAAAGTTGATGTTGGGATGCAAGCAAAGTCCCACATTGTTCAAACAAGAGGATGCACATGGGTTTATATACACACCATTGTCTCCATTGGTTGAGAGGCCTTTTGGGTGATGTCCAAAAGAAAAACTGTGAGGGCTTGGCCTAAAGCGGACAATATCTCACCAATGTGGAGACATGTGTATGTGTGTGGTAACCCCGATGCACTATAAGTGGTATCAGAGTCAATGATCTGATCAGGTGACCGGCTCGACGAGTATGATGGCTGGCAGGTGGATCCAAGTTTGGGATCCCTTGTGTCAAAAGTCTTCCTAAACGGTGGAGGGTTAGGAGACATGTCCCGCTGTCATGAAGGAGGTCATAATGGAGCAGCGGTGCAAGCACTCAGAGCGTGAGTGAGCTTTGTGGGCCACCGCTACAACGGACGGGGTAAAAACCGTGGTCCTTTGTTTGAGGGGAGGATTGTTGGGATTCAAGCAAAGTCCCACATCGTTCAAACAAGAGGATGGTCATGGGTTTATATACACACAATTGTCTCCATTGGTTGAGAGGCCTTTTGGGTGATGTCTAAAAGCAAAACCGTGAGGGCTTGGGCCTAAAGAGGACAATATCTCACCAATGTAGAGATATGTGTATATGTGTGGTAACCCCCTCTGTGCTCAACAAGTGGTATCAGAGCCGATGGTCTGATCAAGGTGACTGGGTCGACGAGTATGATGGCTGGCAGGTGGATCCAAGTTTGGGATCCCTTGTGTCGAAAGTCTTCCTAACGGTGGGTCCATGTGGAAGAGAGGCTTCCCAGTAACATGGAGGGTTAAGAGGCATGTCTCGCTGTCTTAAGGGAGGTCATGATGGAGCGACGATGTAAGCACTCTGAGCATGAGTGAGCTCTGTGGGGCCACGTGGTCCATTGTTTGAGGGGAGGATTGTTGGGATGCAATTAAAGTCCCACATCGTTCAAACAAAAGGATGCACATGGGTTTATATACACACAATTGTCTCCATTGGTTGAGAGGCCTTTTGGGTGATGTCCAAAAGAAAAACCGTGAGGGTTTGGCCTAAAGCAGACAATATCTCACCAATGTGGATACATGTGTATGTGTGTGGTAAACCCCGATGCACTACAGTTGAGTTTGAGGGCTTGATCCTTGAAGATTAGGAGGATCACTATTATCACCTTCAAATTGTTTTTATTGTGACTCTTCATTATGATCTTCTGTTTGGTCCTTATCTTGAGTGGTTCCTGAAGCGTCATCAACCTCCACCTGTTTAAGAACTTTCTGATTTTTACTTGGAACAATAAACTCCAATCTCGTGTGAAACATGTGGGATTCATCAAATATAACATCCCTACTCAGAATAACCTTCCTTTTAGAAGGTGACCAGATTTTATACCCTTTAGCTCCATCACCATATCCCATAAACAGACCCTTCTTAGATCTAGGTTTTCACTTATCCTTATTAACATGATAGTATGCATCACAACCAAAGACTCTAAGTAAGGAATAGTTTGCAGGTTTATTTGACCATACCTCAATAGGTGTTTTACAATCTATAGTAGTGGATGGTTATCTATTTATCAAGTAACAAGTTGTGTTTACTACTTCAGCCCTAAAGCTTCTACTTAATCCAGCATTTGATAGAAGACATCTAGCTCTCTCCAACAAGGTTCTATTCATTCTCTCGACAAATCCATTTTTTGTTGTGAAGTGTTTCTCACAGTGTATTGTCTAGCAATACCTTCAACTTTGTAGAAGTCATTGAACTCTTTTGAGCAGAATTCTGGACCATTATCAGTTCTTAGCCTCTTGACCTTCTTACTTGTTTGTTTCTCCACAAAATATTTCATTCCTTAAAGAATTTGAATGCTTGATTCTTGTGCTTCATAATGAATATCCAAGTCATCCTTAAGTAGTCATCATTCCCCTTTCACTCATGTGACCAAGTCTGAGTGTAATCCAAAGAAGATTTGGTTGAGTGTTGAGCTTCTGGAAACTTGTTTTTGTGTTGTTTACAAAAATACAATGCTCATAGAATTTGAGTTTTTTGACAGTATGATTTCCAAGCAACTGTTGCTTGCTTAGAATCATCATTCCCCTTTCACTCATGTGACCAAGTCTCATGTGCCACAGGTAGGTGAGATCAGGTATGTTCTTTTCAGCAGCAGAAATAGATTATGATATAAAACTAGTTGATCCTTGAAGCATATAGAGATTTCCCTTCTTAAAACCTCTCATCACAACTATAAACCCCATCTTTATCTCCATTACTTCATTTTAACATTGCACTTAAAGCCTTTAGAATCTAGAACTCCAATAGAGATAAGATTCTTTTTCAGATCTGGCACATGTCTCACTACTAGAAAAATTAAAATTAGAGAGGGAACAAATCCGTCACTAATCCTTATAAAATCCGTCAAAAATAAATTAGTGACGAAATTTGTGACGGAAATGATTCCGTCACAAAAATTGGCGTCACAAAATATTTAGTGACGGATAATTTCGTCCGTCACAATTAGTGACGGAATTCAGGCATCACAAACAATATATTTTCCGTCACTAATTTGTAACAATAAATGTTTATAAATTAATAAAAATCCGTCGCAATTTGTGAGGTATGTGTGTCCGTCACAAACTGTGATGACTAGTATCCGTCACAAACTGTGATGACTAGTATCCGTCACAATTTGAGACGCCAAAAATCCATCACAAACTGTGATGACTAGTGTGATGACCAGAATTGACTAGAATCCGTCACAATTTGAGACGCCAAAAATCCGTCACAAACTATGATGACTAGTATCCGTCACAATTTGCGATGGGTAAAATCCGTCACTAACTGTGATGACCCAAATCCGTCACAAACTGGGATGAATAAATCCGTCACAAACTGGGCATCTTTGATGACTAGAATCTCTCACAATTTGTGATGAATAATTGCGAAATCTGTCACAAACTATTGTGCTGAATGAAATCCATCGAAGATAAATAAAATCTGTCACAAATTGCAAATTATTTTTTCGTAAATTTGTAAAGAATATATTTTTCTCCTGTAATTGTGATATAATAATTTAATTATGAATATAACAAATAATTTATTAATTAATCAAAAAAGTTGAATTTATTGTCTATTTATTTAAAAAATTAACAAAATAAATAATTAAGAAAAATTTCTCAATTCTATAAAAGCATGTAACTAAACACGAATATAAGAAAGTCAAGCATACCATAGATACAAATAACACCAAATATAACAAAGTTTATGACTTTAGTTGATCCCTAATGTATGATAAGTACTATAGTAAAACTTAAACATAACAAATTATAAGTTTAAAGCATAGTAAACATAATAGTAAAAGATAATGCATCCCTAAACATGTATATCATGATCATCATCTAACTCATTATCATCAGATTGTACAGTGTTAGCATCATGTGTAGGAGGAGGTTGGGGAGGACGAGAAGATTGAGAAAACATCTCCATAAATTGCTTCAGTTGCTCACGAACCAACCGAGACTCTTCCTGTGAAGCACGAATCAAATATGCATGGCTTTGCAATTGTTCTTTCAATGATTTGTTTTCTTCAGACAAATTTGAAACAAGATTTTTCATTTGTTCATACTCAGGAGTTGAGATACCATCTAAGAATGTAGAAGAAGAAGGTTTATACTTCCCAGCCTCTGAACCTAAACCAAATATTCTTCCTTTATCGTTCACACCACCAACAACATCATAGAAAATACTATTTTCAGATTGCACTCTAGAGGCAGCATGATCTCCCGATAATTGTTGTGACTCTCTTTCAGATAACCGTCTTTGATACTCATTCTATATAAAAAGAAAAGTAAGAAACAAAAGTATATAAACATTAATGACAATAGAAGATCTCATGAATGTCATGAATGATGCAAAGAATCATGCAAGAAGAACACACAAAAATACTTAGTAAAAAGTCTAAGATGTAACTTATGAGCAACACATCACTAGATAAGTATGAATTCCAATGAAATTAGTAACTTGTAAACCTAGATGCAACACCACATACACATGAATCTCATTGAATTTAGCAATTAATAAACTAAGATGTAGAGATGGTAGCACTTCACATTACATGAAACTAAAATTGAGCACAACCAATAAGGTGAAATGATTCTATGTTCACATAATTCAGTAAAAAATTCAAATCATATAAAAAAATTACATACTATAAATGGTATAGCTTGCAATTTTGAGACCATTAACTGTAACCTATCTTAATATGTCAAGTCGACAGTGAAGGACAGAACATGACAACTTTGACAGTACCATAACCATTGTTGAAACATAACCATTGTTCTGTCTCTAATATAACCATTATATGTCAAGTCTTGCAAACATAATCATTATTATCTCTCTAACAGAATCAATCAAGTTCTTCATAATTCAATATATATAAAATTATAACTTACCGCTATCCTTTCTGCCTTGGAAGACACCCATGTATTCCCGTTTGCTGTCTTATGGGTCTTTTGGAATAGGTCCCAACATGTTGGAGTCATATCTGTAGATATTTTCTGAAGGAACAAAGAGTAATATAGTTTAATTTTAAATTTTGCTCCTGAAAAGAATAAGTAAATATTACTTACCAATCTCTTAAAATGCTCAGAAGTAGGAATGGATCCTCCAGTATGCAATGAACCATCAGAAGAATTTCTATTATTAGCATTAGTCATTGACTTATGTTTCCAATTCTCATCATTCCATTTTTGTTGAAGTTCTACAAGTTTTTGCTTTGGAATCCAACTCCCTTGATCAATGCCTCGTCGCACCCTATACATAGCATTTGAAAGCCCTTCAGATGCTTTATGGTCAAATGCTTTTCTTATTTGTGCATCATGATCAGGCAGCCACTTGAACTTTCTCTACATCAAAAATTTATAAAATATTATTTAAACAATGTGCAATTTAATGCAATGAAAAATATAAAATGGTTATTATAATATTTGTAGTTCTTTATACCTGAAACTCTTCAAACCACATGTTTGCCACACCTTCATTAGTGCTTTTAACCTCTCCATATGATTCCCATGACCCTTCAAACTTCCCTTTGATTATTCTTGAAATTTCACGGGTAGGGTGAATTGGTGGGTCGAATCTATAAAAATAAAATAGAAGAACTAAAATAACTTATAACACGAAACATGTTTATATTGATCTAAAAGAAAATAATTATTCATACTTACGTGTTTTGTGGACCTGGGCGAATCCAAATACGTCCATCAGAGTCAAAGCTTCCAATTTCTAAAGATGGATCAATAGAGGATGATGATCCAACAATTGGACTACCAGTAGCATCAATGGAGGGATTTGTTTGTGGTCTTTCAATCATATTTGGGAATTGTGTTAAAGGAACATGAGGGGTAGGTATAGACTGGTTAGTTTGAGGAACTAAATGTGGTTGGGAAGTGGAAGTAACATGAGGGGTAGGTGTAGCTTGGTTACTTTGGGGAGTTGTAGGTGTTTGGGAGGTGGAACCATGTGTAGGTTGTGTAGTACAATGAGAGGGTTCTCCAATAGAATGTATTGGCTGAGAAGTAGAAGGTGGTGGCACAATGGTGGTACCTCTACCTCTCCCTCTTCCCCTACCTCTACTAATACCTCTACCAGTGCCTCTCCCTCTTCCTCTATCAGTCATGTTATTGCTCATAATCTATACACACAATGTAGAACATTAACAAATAAAGTTTATTAAGACATCAATAATAAGTTCAAGATTAACAAATAATATCTACTATATAGTAATATATGCATATCCACAACAACCACAAGATTATGACATCAAAGTCTATTAATGCACACATATCAACAACAATTACAACATTACTTGATGTGAATATGAAACATGAAATTAAGTTAATTCTTCTTCTTCTATTACATAAAAGAGTCAATATGAAACATGAGATTAAGTTAATTTGAATCTATATCTTCATAAGTTTCATCATAATCGTCTTCATTACTTGATGTCAATTGTATGTCTTCTTCTTCTTCTTCTTCTTCTTCTTCTTCTTCTTCTTCTTCTTCTTC